CTCCTCGGGGTTGTCAAGCGATGGTCGGTCTAACTTGGAAGCGAGCTGTCTATGAGTGCCAGGCTGCTTGGTGGCGAGCTGCCTAGTGGCGGGCTGCCTGTGAGGTGCAGAGCTGCTTGGTGGCGAGCTGCCTGTAAGTGCCGACCTGCTTATGACGAGCTGCCTGTAAGTGTCGAACTGCTTATGACGAGCTGCCTATAAGTAGTGAGCTGCTTATGACGAGTTGCCTRTAAGTGGCGAGCTGCCTGTGAAGTGGCGGGCTGTCTAGAAGTGCCAAGTGTCACAATGTCATTGGAGGGCCAAATCCGCCCTCATCACCATGGATGAGGCAAACCAAATTGGTTGAACCATAGGACAGTAAAAAAATAAGTAGTCCATAGTTTCAGGATCTTCTATCTCTATTGAATTCAGTTTATACTTGCCTTGATTTTGGAGAAAGTGATAAAATTTAAATTTGATTTTAGGGAAATTGTCAAAAACTCACTGTGAGTTTTCAACATTTCTCTTAAACTCACAACTTTTCAAAATGTCTAAAACTCATCATGTCACTAACTTGATGTTAAAGAGACTATTGGCTATTAATATATTACCATTTTAACTTTCATAGAAAAATACAAAATATATACATATATTTTAATATTTAGACATGAAAAAAAAAAGGAAAAAGTTCAAAAATATTTTCAAATATAATTAAAAGCACAGAAATTACAAAAAATATAAAAAAATTATAGAAATTGCACACAAAGTAAAAAATTATTTTCAAATTATAGAAACTACAAAAATTGAAAAACAAAATCAGAAAATAAAAATTGTAGAAAAAACACCAAAAATTATAGAGAAACACAGAAATTGCAAATAAATAACAAAAAATACAGGAAATTTTATAGATGGTAGAATATAGAAAATGTAAAGAAAACAGAAATTATAAAAAAAAAAACATTAGAAGTTATACCAAAACACTGAAAATGTAAAAAATGAAAATGAAAAAGACTCTTTTTTCCTCTAACTCGCCATTCAAGGGTGATTTGGTCATAAAAAGTGTTATTTATGCTGATATGAACATTTTATTAAGAAACATTAACGGTACACTAACGGAAGGTGAGTTTTGGAAAATAAAAACTTATTGACATGGTGAGTTTTAAACGTTTTGAAAAGTTATGGTGAGTTTAAGAGAAATGTTGAAAACTGAGTTTTAGACAATTTCCCTTGATTTTATAATGCTATTTACCCTTTATTTGAACATGTGATATCACGTGCCCTTTACACTAGTGTATATAAATATTGTGTTTTAATTTTTAGCCAAAGAGTCATTGGTTCGAATTTTATACAAGTAATTTTCAATATATTTTGTTCATGATCTAGAATACCATCATTTTCATCTTATTTTATTTAATAATAGTTGTATTTTGTTGATTTATAGTTATGTTATTAATGCAATTCAATCCAATAACATAAACCCATGGAGATTCAATCCAAATCCCAACATAAACGAATCAAATTTGGATCTTACAGGTCGGATGCCCTGCTCTACCTCTACACCATTTGAGAATACTTTTTTAATGAACCATCACATCCCCCAGTTGGAATTCGATCTTTTTGCCAACACAACCGCATTGTGTGAATTCCACCATGCATCTGTAGTTCAACGGAGGACAATGGCAACTAAGGGCATCACAGCCTTGTCTTGAGCTAGTTTCCCAATTACTTGTAAGCAAATCCGAAAATAAACTCATACGATAAACAAAAGAATGCAAGCAAAGGCCCAAATAGAGGATTAACTTTGTTCAAGTACTGAAACCAGTTTCAATCAACATATATGCAGCAAAATGTTTGGCGAATAACCTGTACATACTTACGCTTCATTGACAGCTCCATTAGGTGCAATTACAAGGCGATCATTTTGGAGCAGGGTGATAGGAAAGTTGGCTTGACAATTACTGATATGTGATTTGAGGCGAGGTATGTTAGGATGTGCACTCCTGCATCTATGGCAACGTAACTCCATTGACAACATTCTCTCATCATTTAATGTTGCTTTCCCATGTTCATCAATTTCCTCAATTACATCAACAGAATCACGAAAGAAAGCAGTGTTAAATGAATTCCAATGCTTCTTGTTCTTTAGGTGTATTGAATTAAAATCCTGGCTAATAACATGAAGGTGCAGCTGTCGCATTGATGGTGCCTGCAAAGAGTCCAATGAGCTTTTAAACATGGATATAATTATAAACTTATCGATCTTAGTAAAATGGTAAGGGAAGAAATCAATTAACATTATGGCTGTGTTTGGAAACGATGCAAATATGTAAAGTGTAAAACATATAAATTGCAAAATTGGTTTAGTTTTGCATTGACAAATTTACCTTCTTACCAAACAGACTTTTAGCTGTAATGAATGCAAACACTAATTCCAGTAAAGCATATGCTTTTTTTTTTATCAAAAGCCCACTTGAATGCAAATTTGTTTATTTTTTATTGATGTACTTTTACATCTTATTATCAATATAAATATGCACTGGTCTGTTATTTGTCAATGCAAAAATGTAATGTTGTCAAACACATGCAAAAGTGAACCAGAGTGCAAATTTACCCTGAACCGGGATTTACGCTCCATTTGCATCGTTTCCAAACACARCCTATTGGACAAAGCTACAAGAGGAATGTTGCCAAAAGCATTGAGCCAGTGGAATGTGATACATAAACAAGATCAACCATTTGACATGTCTATCAAAGACCTGCATGGTTAGATTATTTTAAGTAACTGACTTGTGGAGAGAGCATATAGTTGTAATAGATTATTTTGCTACTACTCCAAATGACAATGAGTACAATAAACTACTCAGCTACAATTATCTAATCAAGTTGAACTTTTCCCCAGATGATCTTTAAGGTGGGACCCCTTCAATGGTGGTCCTGATGCTACAGGTATCTATTACCAGTTCAGGTATCAACTCAGAACTTACCTAATTCTGGCCCAAGGTTTTTCCATTATTTGCTCAATGAAAAACACAGGCAATAATAAAAACTAGGAAATTACCTAAATTTAGAACAGCAACACATAATTACTTGGCTAATAAAACATCACTAACCTATTTAATTCGTTTAGAAATAGATTTATTTTGTAATTCTTAAAACTAAATCTTGACACATGTTTCTTCAATAATAAAACCCATGCGAACATGTCAGCAGATTGGACAATTATGAAGGCCCATGTCCAGCAGAARTCTCTTCATCTGACACTAACCAGATGAGACATCACATTTGTCCTAAGATCAGAGAAATGAGAAGGAAATAAATTGGAGAACATTCTGAATAAATGTGTGCATACCGAATGGTATCCAAGCCGGAAGATCAATGAAGCATCATCAGATAAAAATTTCTTGGCCCACTTGATACCCACAGAATGCATTGTTCTTAATAAAGAAAGGTGTTCTTTCTGTACATCTGCCAGACGATCAAGACCATCCAATCTCGCTAACACCAGAAGGTGCTTTTGTGCCTGCATAATGGAACTAAGTTAAGTAATCTAGTTATCTCAACTATAAACTATGAACTGAAGCAAAATAGCAACTTCCACTACCTTGGGATAAAGGTCATTCAGCACAACAACATCATCAGATATCTCAATCAAATCATTTTTGTGCTTTTCAGGATGCATGGCAATATGGTAAAGAGCTTGAGCCCATGTACCCCAAACCTTGTTCCCACCAACTTTGTCATGCTCCAGCCCTTCCTTCTCCATAGTATCTGTTGAAACAGACAGGATTGCTTTTTCATCYAATTCTGACATCATATGTACTAAAGGTTCTTCTCGAAGTCCTTTGCACTTCTTGTTGCTTTCAGATCCATAATTACCCCCTCGTTTAACCTTTTGATCAATATTATAATGATCAGTAAGGCTTCTCTCAAGGAGATTCTCATGCAACTCTGAGGAAGTTGACCTAAATTTTTTGTCACTCACCACTGTTTTTGTTTGGTTCCTCACAATTGATGCAAAACCTTCAAAAAGTGATGAATAAGCCTCGCTGAGAATCTTGCAGCCCTTGATGTAGTCATTGCCTAAACAATTTGGTCTTTGTGGATTCATGTTAGGTCCAAGAACATGTATGACATGGGTCACCCCTTCTCTTTTATACAAAGGAGAAGTTGAAGGAAGAGGGACAACCACAGCACTCCCAGGGCTAATAGATCCAGCTCGATCCTTGGTTGCAATTTCTAGGTCTGGACCTGCTGCACTGAATATGGCTGCATTCACTCCTCCACCTCCAGGCTTCAATCTCCTGCATTGATGTATTTGGCTATCTTTCAGTGAAATTTCTTGGCATGGAAGGTGAACCTACAAGTATTAGGAATTGGAGGACCTTCTGGAGATGGTAATAAACCAACACTAGTAGACTTAGGGCTGGAGATGGTAATAAACCAACACTAGTAGACTTAGGGTGAGTTGGTTCTAGGCAATTTGCAGTTCTAAATTATGGATTTCAGTATCCACAGACCACTAGGGATGTGCAAGGAAATTCACAGTGATGCAGAGGCCAAGTGCTCAAAATGGGATCTTGTGAAGTTTTTACTATTTTGTGTTTAAAGACGTTCAAGGCATTTTGGCATTTAAAGATGTTCATGGTAATTGTGTTTTATGGTTGTTTTAAGGATTGTTTCCTCTAATTAAACATGTCACAACTATATCCAGTAAAGTATTATATGCTGCACAGATGCTTTAAATTAGATTCTAATCCATGTTGGATGCTTCCATTTTGGAATAAACTCTGGTTACATGCCATCTCCAACAGTTTCTTTGTTATATTTGGGTGTAGGACTATACATGGATCGGATATGGATATGATAAGGTCAGGCATATCTGAATTCAATCAGGTTGCATATTTACTCTAGGACTTAAATCCAAACCAATTATGAATGGATATACTATAAAGGACTCAAACCTGGCCTATTCAGATTGTGTCTAGGACTCCAGGTCATGGCCAATCCACTGTCTCTCCTATTTAAATAATAGGATATATAATTGACGTTTTCTCAGATTGCAGCTCGTTGCTGCCAACGAGGACGTGATGTGGCAGTGACATGGATTTCCTATAATGGGTACCAGTGCCGAAAACAGATATGGAGCACTGGTACAAAACAGAAAGTGTTGCTGTTGCTCCAGGAAACGTCCTACTTGGCAGCAACATTTCCAAACAAAAAAAAGACACCATTTTCTCAGAAAACGGTGCTTCCAACCCACACATCAGCAGCACCGTTTTCTGAAAAAAACGGTGCTGTATTTGCAGCATCGTTGCCAAACATATACTTATTTTATAAAAATGGGAGTTAGAAGACTGCATTGCTTTCTGTACCTTCAGCATAACATGCAATGCTACTTGGTGGCTGCTTGTTACTGATTGCCCACTAAGATCCCAATGCATGCATTACAGAAACGTGGTAAATTGCAACTTGACTTGGACAGGTCTGAGGCCAGTCTGGCCTCCACTTTAATCAGGCTGTGGTGGGTGAGGGTGTGGTTTTGACCTGGAACAAATGGGAGTCAGATGAATGCTCTGTTTTCTGTACTGTCAGCATTATATGAGATGCTACCAGGTGACTGGTTGTTATTGATTGCCCGCTGAGATCCCAATCAATGCATGTACTAGAGAGACCTGTTAAGTTGCAACTTGACTTGGACAGGTCTGAGGCCAGTCTTGGATCCACTTTCAGCAGTTTGTGGCATTGGCCTGAACTTTTAGTTTGGATAGGCCTCCCTGGTCTCAAAGTGATTTACTTAAATATATCATATATGCCATGGATTTAGGGGCCATTGATTGGTGCAGTGGTAAATCTTGTGCTGACAAGCATGATATTGCAGTTTTGCATCTAAGTGCAGCTGCTTTGTTCAAGAAAATGCCAAAGGTTTATGAATTTATGCATGTTATTTAATGTTTCAACAAAGTAATTGTATTACTGATGTAATGCTAAGTTTATTTATTGCTCCAAAACACGCCTTCTCGATTTCCAATGTGTGGCTTGGAGCACTGTTTTTTATGGAAAAATGGTTCCAAACATATTAGCGTTTCCTGGAGCACCATTTTTTCCGACATGGCGCTGATGTGTCACCGTTTTCTGGAGCAATGGCATCGATGCCAAACAGACGCTAAATATTACTTGTACTCGGAGGGTTTAAAGGCATATGCATTCATGCAACGTGATTAGAGATCATGATTTGAGCATTTTAATGAGCTACTCAGGGCTACCTGGTTTTGGTAACTCTTTAAGAGATGAACTGTTAGCACTTCTATATAAGTTGAAGTTAGCATACAGCAATGGATGGAGTGGATTTATGGTAGAAAGTGACTGTCAGGTGGTTGTAAGTTTGCCGCTGTCAAGGTCTGAAGGACTTAGGGCTTCAGATATATAACTAGAGAAGTACTTGTATTAGATTCCAATCCAAATTGTTCATTTAGATGGATTCCCAAGTCTGCTTAACAGTTAAGCAGATATTCTTGCACAATTAGGTGTTAACAATAACGAATTAGAATGGGGATTGCCTGGAATATGTGTAAATTTGTAAACATAGCTGATATATGCATGTACTAGTGTGATAGTTAGTCTTTGATTGTGGTGCACATTCTGTCCTATTCCTCCAAGAACTTGGAGAGTACAAATGGTGTTTTCTCTGATGGAATATTAATGATATTCACTATGATAATATCAAAAGAAAATGCATTCATTTTCTAACCATTCAATAGGCCCACCTATGCCGGACTGACCAACATGATCCCAGCCCGCCCGAATGTATCAAATTTTAGTTTGTGCAAGGCCTGGATTGGGCAGATTGGCTTGACCTTGAGCTAGGTCCAGGGCCTCCAGGCTCAGGCCTGGGCCTACATATTAGGGTTGGGCCTTAAACCTGGCCCAGCCTGCCCAAATTGCACCTTTATAATGAATCTGTATCTTTGTTTTCACCCTTCTTTTCCCTCTCTGCCCAACCAAAACACAGCCTATCAAGAAAATAAACGAAAATGAGGAAAAAATATTTAAGATAAAATTCTGGTCAGAGACGTCGGAGTAAAGTATGTATTTCACATAAATGAGGCATGGAGAAATATGTGTACAGTATTGGTTCGGGAAGAAAATTCCACAATATTGCAGTTGCACTGTATCTATTCTATTCTGAGCATCATTGCAAACTCATCATTAACTAGCAGTATCCATTAGCAGTAACTTAGTAGCAGCGTAGACTCAACTATTAACTAGAGCATGGATGATATAGCTTGCTAGAGGTATTAAAATTATAATATATCATTCTTTCCAGTATGAGAACCTCAAAGGTTAGCACTTAGCACTGAGCCAACTCCTAATATTAGACCTTGATAAGCAAATAGAGGCATACTCTAATTAAGAATATTAGATATACCTAGAGCCCAAAATATGTTTTTCTGAAAGTACATATTACAGTCAAGTGCCTAGGGAAAATAGCAGTTCAAGGCTAAGGAAACATATCCAAATCTGTAACCTTACCAGTTGGCAGCATTAGCAATCACATTGCAGCGTAAACCTGCTCCTGTATAAAGTCGAGTTATATCTCCTACGACCGTGAAGAATTTGTTGGAATCAATATTCTTCTGTGCAGCTTTGTTCCTAACCAATGATAAAATCTTTGAACCATGAGACAGATCTACAAGTACTAGCCTGACATTACCAACCTCATCCAAGAACCCCTTAACTTTCTCAACAATGATATCAGATGCCTTCTCATGATTGAATTGAAAATCTGAGGTTGAAATAGATGGAAATGCTAAAGTAGGAACATCAGATGCCTTCCTGGGAAAATCTCCACCTTCTGTTACTTCACTGGCCTTACATGATGATAACTTAACATTTTCAGTTTCTTTTTGGGAGGGAAGTTTTTCACTTGTATCTTGTTTTGAAACACAAGTCTGCACATCAGGTCCAACAGTATCGGGGGCATCTACTTTCTTTAGAAACTTCATTATGCCAAGTTGGATTTTTGCATCAGGATTTTTCTGACCAAAACAGCCCGAAGGAAGGGTATCTGAGGGACCAAGTGCACTATATGTATTAACAACATTTTGTACATCACCTTCATTCTGACAAAATGTGATTCTAGAGAAACCTTCACCCAGCTTGGGTAATTCTTTCTTCTGTAACATTCTATTTACAACTGCAGCAGCTTTTCCACCTTGCAGGTTTCCTTCATGTCCAGAGCGTTTTACTGACCGAGATATACAAAGCTTAGCAGGAAGATCAAGCACTACAGCATGTACATCCACTTGGGGCCCACCAAGCTTCACAAAGTCAGAACGCTGTTCTCTTTCTAAATTGCATCTATCAATAAATACACTTTTTCCATTACGCAATGCATCAGCTGCACTCTTTAAGCACTGGGATTTTGTTCCAGCTTTGCCATTTGCAATGGTGTCCTACAAAAATAAGGAAAAATTTTACCAACTAAGCTGAAAAGGGTGTTAGCCAAATCTTGGCCGTTTTTCATGGTTAAAACATTTGCAAACACCATGATACCAGTGTCTCTATCCCCTTCAGATATAATTCCAAATTTCAGCATAAGATGATTAATATCGAGTTAACTTAGGTTTTCAGTCTATGTGTTACAAAGGAGATTATGAAAAAAAAAACATTTTTAATGCCGTCATTTCCCGGCAACATTAACCATATACAGGTTGACCTCCGTTTAAACATGAAGGGGCACTCTGGAATCAGTAAAAATTTAAGTAAGATAAAGTGCATTCAGCTAGTGTTTGTCAAAAGAAAAGATGAAAAGGGCACAACGAAGCACATGAATTATTCCCGAGGAAAACATTTCCACGACGTGAGATTAATATTTCAGATATCCACGGCCACTCTTTATGATTCATGAAAGAACATCGTTACTTAATACGATTCATCCAACAGACAAACGGAAATTAGAGAGAGAGAGAGAGAGAAACCTGGCAGATTCGAACCCAGGGACGGTGTGCAGTTCTCATGACGTCTTCGCAGAAGGTAGACTTGCCACTACCAGGTGCACCAACCAATATCACTACAATATCCTTCCTGTTCTCATCTTTATTAGGGTTATAAAAATGGGAAAATAAAAAAAAATGAATCAATAAATGGGATATATGATCACGGATAAGCCATGAAGAAACCCTTAGACAGGAAACACTCGTAAATGTACCTCTCGACTTGTTCTGGCAGTCGACCTCCATATTGCTCTGCTTTCAGAATCTCCTGTGCTTTCTTTTGCCAATGCTACTTGATACTTCAATGCAAGCGTAGTAATCAGAACTAAGCCGGAGGTTCAACCAGATGGATGGCTGGTTCCCTACCATCGGTTCTACGATTGGATCAAACGACTCGTTGAAGGATAGTTCAAATCTGCGCCCCACCACCTCTCACCCCCACAAACGCCTCACACGTCGAGCGTCCGCCATCTGTCCCTTCGCACGCAATTAACTTGTCCCGCGTGCGGGGCTAACGGGACAGCCGTTAACTCGTCCTGTTAGTCCCAAAACTAAGCCTAAAACCGAGTCAAACATTCCCGCGTGCTTGAGCTGCCAGTCCCCTGACCCCGTTCTTCTTCCCTCACCCGAGTTCTCCTTCTTCGGCACCGGCGACCGTTTTGATCAGTTCACCTTTACCAGGTATTCTCCAACACTATTTTGTTGAAACACAATGATATTTTCTTTTTTCATTTCAAATTAGAAAAACCCCTGTTCTCTGATATTTTTTTTTCATTTCAAATCAGAGAAACCACCGGCCATTTCACTGTCACAGGTACTATCCAACTCTCATATTATCACTCTTTCACACATTTTCTTTTTTTTTCTGATATTTTGGTTTTTCAGAAATCAGAAAAACCATCGGCAACAGTGGTTTTTCCTCCGGCACTAGCGACCATCCGGCCATTTCACTGTCACAGGTACTCTCCAACTCTCATAGAAACCACACTTCCACAAGACATTCCTCTATGCCATTATTTCTCTTAAGTCTTACCTATATTGGATTCACCCAGTCATCTGTGGACAAGAACTTGGGTTTGAACGTTTGATAGCTGATAAAATGTCGAAACTTCGCCATTTTGAACTTGGGTATGGACGTTTCAGTGGTCGTGGTCTCGGTGCCATCTTTACACCTCCAATACCAGCTGCACCTGATAGTACACTAAAACCAAGTTTCAGTGATCGTGGTCTCGTCGATTGGATAAAAAAGAAAAGAAGAAAGAGATCCAACGCTTTGGTGGATTTTTTTTTTTTTAATTCTTTGAATAATCAAAACCAGAAGAGCACAGTGCACATGTTATCTTTTTGCCCTGCCCATAACAAAAATATAATTTCCAGGAAAACAATGAATAATGAAGGAAGCTTATGCAAAAGGCCAATAGAAATCAAATGCCTGAATCAAAAACAATCTGCGCCTGATGATCCCAGAAATCTTTGTTTTAGCAATTATCTTCTCCCTGGATTTGATTTTTCTGTCAAATATTGCTTTCCTCTCAATCCAAAGGCTCCAGAAAATGGCAAATAACATAAACTTCAATCGGTCAAATGCCTAGGCATCACCCAGGATCTGTTGGGTAACTGAATGAAGTGTAGCCAAATATCATACACATAAGAATAACGTTGGAGAATACCTGGTCAAGGTGAACTGACCGGAGCGGTCGCCGGTGCCGGAGAAGGAGAACTTGGGTGAGGGGAGAAGAACGGGGTCAGGGGACCGCAGCYCAAGCACACGGGAATGTTTGACTCGGTTTTGGGCTAGTTTTGGGGCTAACGGGATGAGTTAACGGCCGTCCTGTTAGCCCCGCACGCGGGACAAGCTAATTGCGTGCAAAGGGACAGATGGCAGACGCTTGGCATGTGAGGCGTTTGTGGGGCACAGATTTGAATTCGTTGAAAGAAACCTGGAGTCCGAATCTGCTAACCACATTAATTCAGCGATACATTGGTTGTGCTGTATTGATATTCTTAAGAGAAAATTTTCGATTAGCACGGCTCCAGTGATAGTTTGGCCTCCAAATTATCAAATGGGATAATTTAATATCCAAATTTTTTAGACAAAAAAATATAGTATCTATCGTTAAGGATTATCAATTATGTATATTACGTGATTATATTTGTGATTTCAGATTTTTGAAAATACTAAAATTATCTTTAAAAATAAAACACATTGTTTAACATCTTTTTTTCCGAAGGAAATGAAACAGAACCCAAACTCTTTATCACGGAGAGAGAAAAAAAAATCTAATTGAAAAACTAAATTGAGAGAAACCGAGAAAAGAAACTGGTAAAGTGGGAAGATGAAAGGAGACGGCCCCACTATTATTTGTTGAATCTTGATGGTAAAAATTAAGAAAGGATACCCGATTAGAAGAATAGGTAAACCAGGCATCATAAACCGAACTAGCGTGTCAAAAGATGGTAGCTCAGATTTGATGCAGTTTTGAATATGGACGTCTTACAAAATCTCAAGTGAGTGAGTAGCCACTAAAAATTGAAACAAAAAGCTTTTCTTAGTGAAAGATTTTCTGATGAAGATTGAACGTAGGATAAATTTTAATGGTTAACCCATAGACAAATGTAACTAGCGGAAGAGAGTCAATGTGCCGTCTTGATTAGTTCAGCTTCAATACTATTATATTATTCCAATTTGCTTGCAGCAAGAGAGGGGGAGGAAGAGGTGGGGCGGCGGAGAAAAACCGCTTTTGAATTTTTGATAGAGCTGCAAATTCAGTCTATAACAGGTGTCCCATCACATATATACACTCATGTGTATGGATATTTGTACTAAACACTTGGCACAAATTCAAGGCATATACTGCAAATCTTGATAGAGCTGTCAATGGTTTGGTTCAGGCCTACCCAATATGCGACTATGCGTGATTTTTGGTACAAGAGTTCTTAACCCACATCTCAGCAATTCTGATATGGTTGAGTGGTGAAAGAATTATATCTACATAGTGGGCTTTAGTCCTATAGTTTTTACCCACCCACACATTGAGGGCTTTTCGTTCTCCACATAAATCTTAATGCTCTCTTATTGCTCATTTTTGTTTGATAATTTGTCTCTACTATTGTATATTTGCTATTTGGTTATTTGCTATTTGGTTATTTAATCTTTTTGATTTGCACAAAGAAATAGAAATAGATATAGGAGTTTATTTTCTCCATAAGGTCTGTATCAGTATAGACTCTATTATATGTTTTGATGTAACCGTTTATAGTCACGTACTAATTTTTTTATTTTTTGGCTAAGTATTTCGTTATTTGACCTGCTCCTAGGTGACCTGTGACTTAGAGGATGGTGGCGCTTCCTGGTGACGAATTGCCTGGGGGAGAGCTATGCCGAGCTCCCTGGTGGCGAACTGCCTGGGGGAGAGCTATGCCAAGCTCCCTGATGGTGAGCTACCTTGGTGGACTCGTCATTTGACCTGCTCCTAGGCGGCCTGTGACTCAAAGAATGGTGGAGCTCCCTGGTGTAGCGCAACCCAACTGCCCTCTACATGAGGTGATCTTCCCTCCTTTGTAGGCGGCGGGAGCTGAGGAACCTACGAGAACTCCACCTTTTCCTCCTCTTTGTAGGCGGTGGGAGCTAAGGGACCTGCGAGAACTAAATCAGGGGACCCGGGGGTATTTACCCAACGGGGACTCTCCGATGCTTAAGTTAGCACCCTGATTTGTAGAGAGCTTGAAGATGATATTAGAGAAATGAGAGAGCTAGAGAGCAGGGATTACCTCCATTTTTCTTCTTCTTCTTTGTCTTTGGGGGTTGGAGTCCTTATATAGCGGTGTCCAGTCAAATCAGGCGTAACCGCCTCTGTCAAGTCAGGCATAACCACCTTTGTCTCTCTGCCGCAGCCGTTACTGCCAAAGCTGAGGTAGCAGGTGCAGGCAGCTGTTGCAGAGTACGGCTCTGCCAGGCAAGGGACAGCTCTCAGGGCTGACAGGCACGACGCCCCCTAGCGAGAGACATGGGCGCAGGTCTCTGGATCTATCAGGTACGGTTGTCAGGTAGGAGATCTTCCTGCGATATGCCGAACTGCTCTTCCGCGAGCTACCTTGTACCGAGCTACCCTGCAAGTGGCGAGCTGCCTATGGCGAGCTGTCTGGGGGAGAGCTATACCAAGCTGCCTGTGGTGAGCTATGCCGAGCTGCCTGTGGCGAGCTGTGGCGAGCTCTGCCGAGCTGTCTATAAGTGGCGAGCTACGCGGAGCTGTCTGTAAGTGGCAAGCTAGGTGTGGCAAGCTCTGTCGAGCTGCCTGTGGCGAGCTGCGCCGAACTGTCCATAAGTGGCAAGTTGTCTGTGGCAAACTCTACTAGGCTGCCCAGTTGTCAAGAGGCTGCACTTAATTGGCATGAGGTGCCAAGTGTCACAATTTCACTAGAGAGCCAAATCCGCCCTCATCATGTTTTTATAAGAAAACACACCCAAATTACATGCTTTTAGAAATACAAAATAAGTTGCTAATAATTCAGGAAAATGTACTAATTCATGACTAATGTGGAATCAAAAGTTTGGAAATTTTAATTTTTAACATGACATATTTATATTATCCCATGGATATATTAAATATGTCATACATTTATTTATATTTTCATATACAATATCCCAAAATTTTCACCACTATATCAAATTATAACTTATCATGGCCTTTTTTTTTTGTGTGTGTAATGTTTATCTGACCAATTCTTTGGTAATATTCTTCATTTTTAGTTTACTCAACCATTATAAACTAAACTTGTGTAGCACCACCCGTCTTTAGCCTGAATAAAGGCGGTGGGTTCACCAGGACCAGGCTGACAACCGACATTAAAACCTTGCGAACTCTAATGGTTATAGATTGTGAAGTGTCTTTTCATAGAAACAGGATTCATGTAGCWAACGCTGACCCCATATAATTGCAATAAGGCTTGGAAATTGCATGTAAATGTTTTTCCTACTATATTAATTAATGTTGTACGCATAGCTACTAATTATTGTTAGAAGTGATTAGGATTGTTCACAGAATGTTAAAAACCGACCAGCTTAATCAGATGTGATTAATTTTTAACTTAATTTGGTCTGTTTTGATTTAAAAATATATAATCCGACTAATCGATTCAGTTGCGGGTTATGAGGTTGTAAGTAAAAACAACCCTTCAGACCATWATGTAATATGCTAGTGGAAAACCCACTAAAATGAATTCTCTCTCTCCAATTAATGTCCCAATTTCCTCTGATCCCAAGAAAGCTAATATTACATTTTAGTGGGAATTTCTTGGTTATTAAT